CTATGACGACTTGCCATGCGGTTATGAAGTCCATGCCTAATATTATGGGCGTGGTTAGTCCATCGAGGACTGCGAACCATAATTCGCCAGTACAATCGTTAATTGTAACGTCAAATTTTGCGGAATAACGGGGCGCGGCTACGTGGTCGCGTTGAGCTAATTGTACGCCTGCACGAGTTATTGCATCTTGAATTGGGTCACGGTTCGCGAATTCTTTAATTTGGTCGTATAATTCTCCAAACATAAAGGTACGATCGCTACCTGTGTTGAGAAGACCGATAATTTGTTTATCGCCGATATTAATTGTTGTGGTTATCGTGTTCCGTTTTTGTGGCGGTAAGGGCAATGCAGGCCCTTTGTGTACTAAGCGCTTGAATTTACTGGCTGCTGCTAGTAAGCCAACAGCTGGTTGTGACAAGGGCTTCGACGTAAGTGAGTGTATGCTCGTCTCTACTGTGTCAGTATGTACGGTAGTGGGGATGAGCTCGTCGCTTGAGTCTGAGTACTCCGTCTCGGATTCCGAGTAGCAATTGTCATCGTATTCGCTTTCGGAGTCACTAGTGAAATTCCTACTGGCATGCGCTTGATTAAGCGCTGATGCATTTTGAGGAATACACGTTGAGTCCTTTGCGGTGTGACTGCAACTTGGTATTACACGGTTGTCAATAATATCGCGGTTATCTATTTTTACAGTTTTATCGTTGGGATTTTCCGAATTTTTATTTGAATTAGTTATTTGTTTGCCAGGGAGATTTAATCTCTCCTGGCATCTATCTCGTTTTTTGGCGAAAAAGGGTTAGGTGCGTTGAAACCGAGGGTGTTTGGAAAATCGCGATTGCTGAACCAAGGTGGTACTTGAGGTGGTAAGGGCATTTGCGGGGGTGTGAATGGTTGTTGCGCGTTGCCGGGTTGGCAGAATTGCGAAAGGTATTGGTAATAATCATAATTATTATTACCACGACCACGACCATTCCATCCGTTTTTATTTCCGCGTCCGCGATGGTTGCGATTTTCGTGTCTGCGTCCGTCACTGCGGTTTTTGTCTCGTTTCGAGTCGATACTGTGGTCACGAGTTCTACGCGTTGGCGATCTACGTTTTCCCCCCTTTCGTCGCGAAGACACGGAACGTGAGGAGCGAGAAGATCTAGAAGTGGATCAGCGACGTGACTTGCGGGCCGGTGGTGAGGAGGCAGGTGGCTTCTTAGCTCTCTGATCATTTTCAGATTTTTGTTTTTCGCTTGTTGGTAATTTTGCTTCTAATCTTTTAATTTGTTGTTTATAAATTTCTACTTTATTTAAACTAATTTCCGGTTCGCTTTTATTTGGTTTTTTGTTATTTTTGTGTGTTGTTGAAACGTTTTCTGCTTTTGGTTCTTTTTCCGATTTATTTTGTTGAGCGGGATCAGTTGTGGGCGAGGAAGTTTCAATTGCTTTTAATTGATTTTTACCGCGTGTGTTACGAGTTTTTTCGAGTCTTGTTCGCGAATTTTCGAGGTAAATTGCATTGTTGCAATTTTTTCTTCGTATTTGCGAATTTTGCGAATTAAACTGTCGTAATTTGTGAAACTGTCGCGATCAAATTGTAAAATTAAGTCAGAATGAAGGGCCGAGTAAATTTTGTCAAGTTGATTTTCTTCTGCAACTTTTTGTTGTAATTTATTATATAGTGACCTATTCTTATTACGAATTCTATTCCTGATTCGTCTTCGAGCTGGACGGCGCGTTGAATTTTATTCGTGATACGTTGATCGTCATTTGACTCACCAAATATCGATCGGAATTTGGTTGAAAATTCATTCCACGTGTTCCAAGAATTGCGGAATGTGGCGAACCAGGTGTACGCGGATTCGGCAAATGATTGGGACATCGTCGCGAGCGCGTCATCGGGATTAATATTTGAAACTTGTAGTTTGCGTTCAAATTCGTCGATGAATTCGTCTGCGTCGAGCGGTCCTGGGAATTTTAGGTCCCAAGATTTTATAATTTTATGCAAGTTGTGATTTTGCCTATAAAAAGTTGGTGGAGGTCTCGTGATAGGTTCCTGTGTGTTAATGTGAGATGTTTCGTAAGGATCACTGTCGGAAAGTGGAGGGAAAATGAGAATTTCTGGCGGCTCGGTGAATTGCAGTGTACGGTTGCGAAGAGTAGCGCGCACGGAAGGTGTTGTAGACAGTGGTGGGGGGAGAGCTGTTGCTATACCCGTACTAAGTGTCGCATGTGTCCCTGTGTTTGTAGTTGTCACTGTAGTAGTGGTACTTGTAGACGGTAGGGATGTAGGTTGTAATACCTGTTGTGTGCTAGCTTGATAACCGTTGTCGATTGATTCCCAGCGAGAATCATGCCAAGGAGATGGCGTGTGTCTCATCTGTAAGTCCGAAATTTTTTGCGAGAGAGATTCTATCATTTTGTTAACTTCCTTTCTATTTTCTTTAATTAAATTGTTTATTTCTAGGTGATTTGATTGGATTAATTGAAATGTTTCATTTTTAAGGGCTGTTATTTCTTTTCTATTGTGTTTTAGGTCTTCCAACCGAGCTTCTTGAATTACGCGGCGAGTTCCATTGTAAAAATGATTTAATTGATCACGAGATTCGTCCAAATTACGGTCGAGCATATGTTGCATGTGACGTTTAAATTCATTGTTTTGTGTTACTTGGGTCGCGTGAATGTTATCAAAACGTGTGAGAATTTGTTTGATTGCTGCGTTAGAGGTAGGCGTTTTATGTTTCGATTTCCGATCACGGCGTGTTGGAATTAAAATTTTTGGGGTGGTTCCCGTACCAGGTGCTGTAGAGGATGATTTATCCAGATCGCTAGTGCGATTTTCTGGATGATTTTGCGTTTCATTCATTACTGCGGGGTTTGTGTGTGGAGCCGGTGAAACGTTGTTTGTCGCTGTCTCTAATAACGCGGTATTATTTTCTACTGTGAGCACGTTTTGGTCACTTTGCGTTGAAGGATTCGGGTGGGGAGAATTCGTTTCCGAATTTTTGCTTTGATTCGACAGGGGGGGTGTCCTGTACATGTTGTTGTTTTTTGCACGCGATCTAGTTGTGATTCCTCTTTGTCTTGGCGTTTTATTTCTTTTCGTCATGTGAGAAAAGAAAATTTGCGTTTATTTGGTGATTGTGCAAAAAAGAGAAAAAAAAAAATGTTTGAGAGAAAAAAAAATAATTTTTTTTTATTTTTTATTGTATTTCGGAGAAATTATTTATTTAAGTTTGAATAATTTTTCTAATTTTTAAATAGTTTTAATTTTATACGAGTTTTTATTTTCTTATTTCTAATATTTTAATTTGGAGAAATTTTAATTTTGTAGGGAATGACCAAACATGTGAGGAACAATGGCAAGCTGTGGATGTAAACACAGCTGTGTTTTGATCGCGTTATCGAAAAACGAATCGAGTGTTCACTGAAAATAATTTGGCATGAAATATCTTACATTTGAAGAGGAATAAAATTTCCTATGGTAGTTTTCATCCGTAATTATACAAAAAATTAAGTTTCCAATTTATTAGGCGAGATTAAGCAAGAAAATTGCGTGCGTAAAAGCAGAAAATTGTAATTTTACATAAAAAAATAAGCAGTTTTATTACATAATTTTATGAAATAGAAGCCTTTTTACATTCTTTTTTTTTTTACAATTATAGCAAGCGTAGTTATTATTAAATAAAGCGGTTGATTTAGAAGCAATATATAAAAAATTGAGATTGTGCGAGCTATTTCGATTACAGTGGAGAACTTTTATCGGCAGTGTGTGCTTGTGGTTTTTGCATTTGCGATTTCGAATATGTTTATTAAAAAATTTCGATATTCACGTATTTTGTAAGAGAGAAAAAAAATGCAAAGAGGAATATTATTAATTTTGTAGTGATGATTAATATATGTCCATTTTTTGTCTCGTGAAAAAGCACTAGAGTGGTTAAGAGATTAATTTTGAATTTTAAAATTGAAAAAATTTGGACGTCATTTTGTGTGAAGCACGAAAATGGTGGTATAATTAATTTCACTATCAAAATTAACACACGTTGGGCGCTATTTTTGTGACAGCCCTGATCGCGAGATTAATTTTTTATTGATAAATCTGAATTAGATTCTACTTTAATAGTATGGGTTCGACTCGCGACGGAAAGCACAATGTACACTCACACACTTCTCCGATAAAAAAATCCTCCGGGTACGACTACAGCATTTGCAGAGAGCGAGAGAAAGAACGTGTTGAAAGTACTATAGAGCAATGGCCATGTAGAAAGATGGACTTACCGGTGATGCTGGCTCTCTGCGACGAACAATAAATATCCAATAGTAGGAAATAAGAAGGACACTATGAAATAACTCACTACTTTCGCGAGGTTTATTTAATTTGAGAATTCAATTATTTATTCAATAAGAACCAACAGTAGACTAACAAATTACAAAGTAATAGTGAGTTCGCGAATGATACACTATTCGTGTGCCTTCAGGCGATGCTCGCAACAATCTGCCGGCTCGGCGTCTTTTTGCCTAGCACGCGGTTTTGTTGTCTGCTCTCTCGACTATGGGAAGTATCGCATCGATTCGTGCGTCGCGGTATCAATAATCGATAGTTAATAATCGAACATCGAAGACTGACATTTGAATTGTGAATGCAAAGTTACTGCGAATATAATAATTAATTCGGTTCGTTACACACCACAGAGTCAAGTACAACAGCTGTTACATTTCATCCTAAAAGTCCATCTCATGTAATTTTAGGAACAGCAGTAGTTGAAATTTGAGATAAAAACGGTAAATATCATAAATGTAAGGCTCTTCTCGATTGTTGCTCACAATGTAATTCAATTACTGATAAATTTGCTACAATTCTCGGACTGCGTAAAAAACCAGTCAATTTTCAACTCAATGGTGTAGAGAATTTACAAACAAAAATTAAATACTCTACATCAACCACGATTAAATCTCGTTTCAGCAACATCAAGCGTGAAATGTCATTTCTTGTTTTCTCAGAGTTTTCTAGTCAAATGCCTTCCATATCAATTGAAAAGAAATCATTCCAAATTCCATGCCATGTTTCTCTTGCCAATCCAGAATTTCATATGCCAGCCGAAATAGATATTTTAATAGGAGCTGAATTTTATTATGAACTTTTAGGTTCCGGTCAAATTAAAGTGCCAGGACAAACGGCTATTTTGCAAGAAACTATGTTAGGTTGGATTGTCGCAGGTCGCTACACAAATCCAAATGTTAGTAACTCCAATCCTATTCAAACTTCATGTAATTTAATTAAATTCCAAGATTTACCAATTTTGTGGGAATTAGAACCAGACGATTCTTCAAAAATACGTTCGAAAGAAGAAGAAATGTGTGAAGCACATTATTCTCAGAACGTTTCGCGAGATGAAAAGGGGTATACAGTAAAACTTCCTTTTAATGGAAAAGAAAATGATCTGGGAAATTCTCGTAATTCAGCCCTATATAGATTCCAAGCATTAGAGAAAAAGTTTGCGAAAAAGCCAGAATTTAAAAAACAATACGTTGAATGTATTGAAAGTTATTTCGATGAAGGACATATCGAAGAAATTATTGGCGATGAAAATAGTGAGGGGGGATATTATTTACCACATCACGCGGTATTCAAAGAAAATAGCCTTTCTTCTAGCACAAGAGTAGTTTTTGATGGTTCAACAGAAACGTCAACCGGACTCTCTTTAAATGACACACTATTTGTTGGACCCGTTATACAGGATAATCTTGTATCTATTTTAACTAGATTTCGTTCATTTAAATATGTGCTTACAGCAGATATTCAGCAGATGTATAGACAAATTCGAGTAAGTCCCGAAGATTCCCTGTTTCAAAAAATTCTGTTGCGTTCGGATCCATCCGAACCCATAAAAATATTTGCATTAAATAGAGTAACATTTGGTACAGCCTGTGCTCCATTTTTAGCAATTCGTACATTAGCTCAACTCGCTTCAGATGAAAGTGAATCATATCCTGAAGCGGCAAGGGTATTAAAAAATGATTTTTATGTCGACGATATGTTGTCAGGATCTCAAACATTTGAAGATGCTATGAAACTTAGAGATGAATTAATACAACTTCTTTCCAAGGATGGGTTTAATTTACGCAAATGGGCGTCAAATGATCCGAATTTGATCAAAGATCTGTCCTCTGAATCTTCTGATTCCCTACAAACGTTAGATCATTCAGAAATAGTAAAAACGTTAGGATTACATTAGGATGCAAAGTCCGATTCTATTTTGTATACCACGAAGTTGTCAGAGTTAAAGGGACCCATAACACGACGTAGTATTTTAGCCGAAATCGCAAAATTATTCGATCCTCTCGGTTTAGTACAACCAGTTATTATAATTGGCAAAATTTTAATTCTAGAATTATGGAAAACAAAACTTGCATGGGATGATCCTGTTTCACCTGAAATTCAAAAGGCGTGGCTCCAATACACTAATGACCTCCCATTGTTACATAAATTTCAATTTAACAGATGTATTGTAATGACAGGTGCAACAGAATTTCAACTCCATGGATTTTGTGATGCCAGTGAAAAGGCATATGGAGCTTGTCTATATCTTCGATCATCCGATAATAAAGGCAATCATGAATCTGCTCTTATTTGCTCAAAATCACGTGTTGCTCCAATAAAAACTGAAACTCTTGCAAGATTAAAATTGTGCGGTGCCACAGTGTTAATCGATTTAGTTAATGCTACAAGCCATGCATTACAAATGCAATTTTCTAAAATTTGTTTATGGTCAGATTCGACAATTGTTTTGAATTGGATAAACACTTCTCCCCATACACTCAAAACATTTGTCGCTAATCGGGTTTCTAAAATACAAAAAAATACAGAACCTACACAATGGCGTCACGTTCCTACATCTGACAATCCAGCTGACCTTATTTCACGAGGTCAACGACCTCACGACCTTTTAAACAACAATTTCTGGTCCCAAGGTCCCTCTTGGTTGAGTGAAGATAAGAATATGTGGCCGCAATTGCATGTTGAGAATTGCAATATTCCAGAAGTTCGGAAAAGTAAGCCAATTTGTTCATTGAAAATTACACAAGGACAATTTAACATTTTGGATAAATTTAGCACATTTCACAAATTGCAGGTTGTAATAGCTCTTTGTTTTCGTTTCTTTAACAATTCAAAAAAATCGAATAAAGTAGAAAGAGATGTTGGACAATTAACTATTGCAGAACTCAATAAAGCAAAACATACAATTTTAAAAATGACACAAGCTCAAACCTTTCCCGACGAATTAATATCTTTAAAACGTAACGGGACAGTCGACTCGAAAAGTAGTCTCTTTAAATTGAATCCTTTCCTAGACCAGGATCTTATTAAGGTGGGGGGAAGACTCGAACACGCAAACATACCTGATACACAAAAACATCCTACCGTTTTACCAAAACATCACAACGTCACAAGAATAATCATTCGCGATGAACATTTAAAACGACACCATGCTGGTGCTCAATCAACCTTATACGGGGTTCGCGAATTTTACTGGATTATTAATGGACGCAATACTACGAGACATATTATCAGACAATGTGTTAAATGTTTTCGAGCGAAACCTCCAGAGACAAGGTATTTGATGGGAAATTTACCAAAAGATCGTGTGTCTTTTACGACACCTTTTACTCACGTAGGGGTGGATTACTGCGGACCTTTTTTTATAAAAGAACACCGTCATAGAAATAGAACTAAAGTAAAAACTTATGTTTCAGTATTTGTTTGTTTGGCCACAAAGGCTGTCCATTTAGAACTTGCAAGTGATTCAACAACAGATGCGTTTATTGCATGCTTAACGCGTTTCTTTTCTCGTCGCGGTGTTGCAAATTCAATTTCATCTGATAATGCTACCAATTTTGTTGGAGCAAATAATGAAATAAAAGATCTTTTTAATGTTCTTCGTGCTCATGAAGAAAGTAAAGAAGTTTAAAATTATTTGTCAAAAAGGAAGTTATTTGGCATTTTATACCACCTCGAGCCCCACATTTCGGTGGTCTCTGGGAAGCTGCAGTAAAATCTTTTAAGGTTAACTTTGTACGCACTGCAGGCAACTCACTCTTAACGTATGAACAACTTCACACGTATGTAGTACAGATTGAATCAATCCTGAATTCCCGTCCTCTTACTCCTTTATCATCAGATCCAAACGATTTTCTCCCTTTAACACCTGGTCATATTTAATTGGTAGACCAATGACTAGCTTACCACAATCAGACTTGCGCAACGTTCCAGCACATAGGTTAAATTGTTGGCAGAACGCTCAACAAATGAGACAACATTTTTGGAACCGATGGTATAAGGAATACCTTAACGAACTAACTTCCAGGAGTAAGTGGCGAGCTGTCACAGATCAAAGTACCATTAAACTTGGTACACTGGTGGTCATCAAGGAAGACAATATGCCCCCAATGGCATGGAAGTTGGCGCGTATAATCGCGACCCACCCAGGAAAGGATGGTGTTATTCGTACAGTTACTGTGCAAAGTGCAAATAGTGCTTACAAACGACCATTAACATCAGTTTTTCCACTTCCAATAGACAAGAAAATTTAAATGAATGTGAACTGATATCTACAGACTTTAATATTTTAATTTGTTAAATTTTAAATTGTTTTAAAGATTACAATTATTATCCCTTTTATTGAACGTAGGCAGTTCAAGGGGGCCGGCATGTTTAATTTCTCAAAATTTAAACTAAAATTGCCTTATGCCTTTTTGTATGATACATATATATTACAATAGTTACACACTTTCTACAAATTCCAAGAGAAAAAGGAAACATCTGCAAATCATAAAATTGTAATGATTTAAAAACTATATTACCTATGTACAAAAGTTTTGAAAAACATGTTATCTTAGGATTTTATACCTTCTTTACTTAAGCTGCTAAAACCCATTAAAGGCACGTAAACTTAAGATAAAAATCAACATAATAAAAAGATTAACCACTCGAGACCCAGGTAATAACTACAGGGTTTTGCATCCGCAAATGAAACTCGCCATTTTTACCTTCGTGGGTTTTTCCAAAATTTTCGGGTTGTTTTTGGTACACATCGGTACTCTTGTAATTCCGATCTAGGTATATACCTTAACTTGCCATCAGCAAAATATGAAAGACACTTACTTACTTTTCGACAATTGACTTGTACGGTTCGTGCACAAGTCTTCACAAAATGTATCACATAAACCTTTTGGTTAATTTTTATGTATAAATTACAGTATGCATTTTATTTAATAAATACAGTTGTTCAGTAATTTAAATTACTTCCAAGTCTTTTTTTGAATTACAACCTTAATTCAATTTTAAAAACAACTACACGCAACAATGGTCTTCAATATGCATCGAATGGCCTTCGAACAAACACAAACCTATTTTCTCCAATTTCTAGAATTAAATTGTAATTCTTAACATATCAAACTGCTTTTATTGTTTAAAAATTATTGTTTAAAAAATATCTTTTATAAATAATTGAAGAGTAATAAAAAAAATTATTTTCATTTAATATTAAGTAGTTCAATGGTCTTCAATACGTATAGAACACCCTTCGAACAATCTCAAATGTATTTTCTACAATTTCTAAAAATAAATTTTAATTCTTCACATATTCAACAGCTTTTATTGTTCAAAAATAATTGTTTATAAATATCTTTTATAATTAATTAAAGAGTAATAAAAAAAATTATTTTTATTGAATATTAAGTCGTTCGATGGTCTTGAATACGCATCAATTACTTGCTTACAGAGTTCGGATTGGTTCGGACATTTTACGAATTAAGTTTTTTTAACTATATTAAATTCGGATTATTGCGGACTGATTCCGAGTTCTTTACATATTGATTTCTAATAATTCCGTACTTATTTTAGAAGATTTCTTTACTGATCATAAATTTAGATTTTTGCGGACTAATTACGGACTCAATTCTTAGACATTTGGGATTACATCGGAGTGTTTTCGGATTCAGGTTTTCGTTTATTACTCTTCAATTATTTATAAAAGATATTTATAAACAATTATTTTTGAACAACAAAAGCAGGTAAAACCATGAAGAATTAAAATTCAATTTCAGAAATTGGAGAAAATAGTTTAGGACATTTCGAAGGCCATTCGATGCATATTGAAGAACATCAAACGACTTAATATTCAATAAAAAAAATCTTTTTTTAATTCTCTTCAATTATTTATAAAAGATATTTATAAACAATTATTTTTGAACAATAAAAGCAGTTGAATATGTGAAGAATTACAATTTAATTTTAGAAATTGGAGAAAATAGTTTAGTCACTGTTCGAAGGCCATTCGATGCGTATTGGAGACCATTGAACGACTTAATATTCAATAAAAATAATTTTTTTTATTACTCTTCAATTATTTATAAAATATATTTTTTAAACAATAATTTTTGAACAATGAAAGCAGTTTAATTTGTGAAGAATTACAATTTAATTTTAGAAATTGGAGAAAATAGTTATGTGACTGTTCGAAGGCTCTTCAATGCGTATCAAAGACCATCCAAGGACTTAAAATTCAATAAAAATAATTTTTTTCATTACTCTTCAATTATTTATAAAAGATATTTGTGGCATTCCAGGAGAAATTTACTACTTTTCGGAGCACCCTCACCGATTTCTTTCAAACTTGGTAGTATTACATTTGTTGGTCTAAAGTTTCAGAAAATCAATTTTTTAAGTAAAATCAATTGTTTATTTAAAAGTTACAACAATTGCTCAAAATTTTTTAAATGCCCATATCTTTTAAACGGTACAAGATAATTGAGTTTTCTTTTTTGCTAAAAATTCATAAAGACGAGACGCTTCAAAATGTTATTAACATTTTTTCTTATTTTGTTAATTAAAAAAGTTATTTAAATAAATAAAATTAACTTTTGAGCAAGAATTCAAAATTAAATGACTTACGAACCAAAAAATTCCTTGTTTTTCACACTTTTATATTCCGAAGAAAAAAAGTTGATCGAGTTTTTCAATCACTTATAATTTAAACAATTATTCGCTTGTATACAATTATTTTGCAACTAAATGATCATCTGTTCTCACCTGCGCGCGACTACTGCTTCATCACGTCCGTCTGTCGGCATATAATATATTTGACAAGCGTGGAAAAATTGAGGTTATGTTTAATCAAAACAACGCATTTCAATCTTTTTAAAGTTTTAGGATATCAGAATATTAATATCCTGATTTAACTTTTTTTTCCATGACTGCTAAAAACTTTAAAAAGATTGAAATGTGTTGTTTTGATTAAACATAACCTCAATTTTTCCACGCTTGTCAAATATATTATATGCCGACAGACGGACGTGACGTAGCAGTAGTCGCGCGCAGGTGAGAACAGATGATCATTTAGTTGCAAAATAATTGTAAACAAGCGAATAATTGTTTAAATTATAAGTGATTGAAAAACTCGATCAACTTTTTTTCTTCGGAATATAAAAGTGTGAAAAACAAGGAATTTTTTGGTTCGTAAGTCATTTAATTTTGAATTCTTGCTCAAAAGTTAATTTTATTTATTTAAATAACTTTTTTAATTAACAAAATAAGAAAAAATGTTAATAACATTTTGAAGCGTCTCGTCTTTATAAATTTTTAGCAAAAAAGAAAACTCAATTATCTTGTACCGTTTAAAAGATATGGGCATTTAAAAAATTTTGAGCAATTGTAACTTTTAAATAAACAATTGATTTTACTTAAAAAATTGATTTTCTGAAACTATAGACCAACAAATGCAAGTTTGAAAGAAATCGGTGAGTGTGCTCCGAAAAGTAGTAAATTTCTCCTGGAATGCCACAAATATCTTTTATAAATAATTGAAGAGTAATGAAAAAAATTATTTTTATTGAATTTTAAGTCGTTGGATGGTCTTTGATACGCATTGAAGAGCCTTTGAACAGTCACATAACTATTTTCTCCAATTTCTAAAATTAAATTGTAATTCTTCACATATTAAACTGCTTTCATCGTTCAAAAATTATTGGTTAAAAAATATCTTTTATAAATAATAAAAGAGTAATAAAAAAAATTATTTTTATTGAATATTAAGTCGTTCAATGGTCTTCAATACGCATCGAATGGCCTTCGAACTATAATAACTTAACTATTTTCTCCAATTTTTGAAATTGAATTTTAATTCTTCACAGCATCACCTGCTTTTATTGTTCAAAAATAATTGTTTATAAATATCTTTTATAAATAATTGAAAAGTAATAAAAACAATTATTTTTATTGAATTTTCAGTCGTTGGATGGTCTTTGATACGCATCAAAGAGCCTTTGAACAGTCACTAAACTATTTTCTCTAATTTCTAAAATTAAATTGTAATTCTTCACATATTCAACAGCTTTTATTGTTCAAAAATAATTGTTTATAAATATCTTTTATAAATAATTGAAGAGTAATAAAAAAAGATTTTTTTTATTGAATATTAAGTCGTTTGATGTTCTTCAATATGCATCGAATGGCCTTCGAACAGTCCTAAACTATTTTCTCCAATTTCTGAAATTGAATTTTTATTTTTCATGGTTTTACCTGCTTTTGTTGTTCAAAAATAATTGTTTATAAATATCTTTTATAAATAATTGAAGAGTAATAAAAAGAAATTTTTTTATTGAATATTAAGTCGTTCAATGGTCTTCAATACGTATATAGAATATTACGAATTAGTCCGAAAATTGTACGAAAATGGTCCGAAAATGATCCGCGTTAGTCTGATATTAATCTGAACGAAAACCTGAATCCGAAAACACTCTGATGTAATCCTAAATGTCTACGAATTGAGTCCGTAATTAGTCCGCAACAATCCGAATTTATGATCGGTAAAGAATTCTTCTAAAATAAGTACGGAATCATCAGAAATCAATATGTTAAGAACTCGGAATTAGTCCGCAATAATCCGAATTTAATATAGTTAAAAAAACT